GTCTGGCTCAATTTCAGGTCCCTCCAAGCCCCACTGAGGTGAACAAAATGATGTGAATCTCCTGCACTTCATTGACTTCGAACATGACTGTCTCAGGCTTTTCTACTCAACCATGTCTGTGTCATGCCACATGCAAGAAACCTCTGTGGAGCTTGCAATTCTTCTGAGCTCTACCTCAAAATCCAGATAGAGCTCTCCACAGTTCTTGAATCCTGAATTTTATCTCAAGTTTCTATTCTGCACCCCACCCCCAACTAGGAAACAGAGTGTGGATGAGACATGGGATAGCTTTTTAGGATTCTACCTACATCTCAGTTATTTGTCTTCTCTTTGCCCTGACCCTTGTAATCTTTACCCCTCTGCCATAGATAGCCCGAATTGTCTATTTTCTCAGATTTTCTTTTGTGATATAAACATTATACCTTAGATGCAAAACCCTTATTGAAACTCAAAGGTGTTTCCTTTGCTTTTGTGTTTTTCATCTTTCTCCTAAGACAATAAATGCTGCTGACAATAAGGGGAAGGGGGAGCAAAATGTATAAGAAACGACAGAGAGCAATACAACTCAAATTCTTGATGAGTATAACATACTAATTTTTTTTTCATTTACAGAAGGCAAATGAATTCTAGAGCAGAGGAAAAGAGTATGGGAGTTGTGATGGTTAGTTTTATATGTCACCTTGGCTAGGCAATGGTGACCAGTTATTTGGTCAAAAACCAGTGTTGCTGTGAAGGTATTATTTAGGTGTGATTGGCATTTAAATAAGTAGACCTTGAGTAAATCTGATTACTCTCCATAATGTGGGTGAGCACCACCTAATCAGTTGAAGACCTTAAGAATAAAAACTATTTCCTGAAATAGAAGGAATTCTTCTCAAGACTACAACATAGGAACCCTGCCTGAGTTACCAGCCTGTTGCCCTTTCCCTACAGATTGCAGTCTTTTTTTAAAAAAAAGTAGATTTCAGTACTAAAAAAAAGAAGTGAAATTAATTTTAATAATAAATTTTATGTAACCCTATGCATCCAGAATATTACTGCAACATGTAAACAACATAAAATAATTAATGAGATATTTTATAGTCCTCTTTTCATACCAAATCTTCAAAGCCCTATTCATATTTTACACATCTGGGACATCTCAATATGGACTAGCTACATGTGGCTAATGGCTAACATACGGGACAGCAAAGATCTAGACTAAAACATGTTATGAAAAAGAATTAAAGAGGGGCGCCTGGGTGGCTCAGTTGGTTAAGGATCTGCCTTTGGCTCAGGTCATGATCCCAGGGTCCTGGGATCCAGCCCCAGGTTGGGTTCCCTGTTCAGCAGGGAGTCTGCTTCTCCCTCTTCCTCTGCCCCACTTGTGTGCTCTCTCTCTCTCAAATAAATGAATAAAATCTTAAAAAAAAAAAA